AGTCATCTTCTACTAAAGTTACTTCAGGCACTGAGAAATATTTTCCTTTTTTTTTTTTTTCTGATGTTTGTGGAGAGTTAGAGTGGCCCCAAAGGATGACCTCCAGATAATAGGGACATGGCATATATCCTAATCAAGAATGTGAGTGCCAAGAGGTTAGGAATTATTTTTCTTTGCTTGGATTTTAATAACTACTGGCTAAACATCAGACATAAGAAAGTACTTGAGGCCAGGCATGATGGTATGCACATTGTGGTACCAGCTACTTGGGAGGCTGAGGCAGGAGAATTGCTTGAGGCCAGGAGGTTGAGACCAGCCTGGGCAACATAGCGAAGCCTCGTTTCTTAAAAAAAAAAAAAAAAAAAAATTTTTAATTAGCAGGAGCTGGGTGTGGTGGCTCATACCTGTAATCCTAGCAGTTTGGGAGGCTGAGGTGGGAGGACTGCTTAAGCCCAAGAGTTCAAAACCAGCCAGAGCAACAAAGTGGGACCTCGTCTCTACAAAAAAAAAATAAATAAATAACCAAGTGTGCTGGCATGTGCCTGTAGTCCCAGCTACTCAGGAGACTGAGATGGGTGGATCACTTGAGCCTGGTAGGTTGAGGCTGCAATGCGCTATGATCATGCCTCTGAATAGCCAATGCACCCCAGCCTGGGTGACAAAGCAAGACCCTGTCTCAAAAAGAAAAAAAAAGAAAAGAAATTAGCAGAGTGTGGTCTTGTGCATATAGTCCCAGCTACTGGGGAGGCTCAGATGGGAGGATCACTTTCAGCCCAGGAGTTAGAATCTGCAGTGTGCTATGATCACATCTGTGAATAGCCACTGCACTACAGCCTGGACAACATATCAAGACCCCATCTCTCTTTAAAAAAAAAAAAAAAAGGATACTTGATGAAGCCAGATTGGCTATGACACTAAATAACATTGTAAGGGATATTATTGGGATATTAAATGTATAATGTGCTTGGATCCCCCGACACATATATGACCTTTCCCTACTCTGTTGGCATCATGCATCTGCCTCAGGCAGGATTACAATTTTTGTGTCAAGAAGGCAAGGCCAGGCGCAGTGGCACATGTCTGTAATCCTAACACTTTGGGAGGCCGAGGCAGGTGAATCACCTGAGGTCAGGAGTTCAAGATCAGCCTGGTCAACATGGTGAAACTCCATCTCTACTAAATACAAAAAATTAGCCTGGCATGGTGGCGCACACCTGTAGTCCCAGCTACTCAGGAGGCTGAGGCACAAGATCAGGCCACTGCACTCCAGCCTGGGAGACAGAGTGAGACTCCATTTAAAAAATAAAGAAAAAAAAGGCAAAGAGAAAGAGTAAATGTTTGATTTTGCAAAATAGGCTTTTGAAGAGATAGGGTTTTCTAAATTCCAAGTGTTCCGTCTTTATTCAAATTAAATAATTAATTAAAATTATTTTTTTTTTTAGTGAAATAGGGTCTCTGTCACCCAGGCTGGGGTGCAGTGGTGTAATCATAGTTCACTGCAGCCCCCAACTCTTGGGCTCAAGTGATCCTCCTGCCTCAGCCTCCTGAGTAGCTGGGACTACCAGCATGAAACACCATGCCCAGCTAATGTGTTAACTTTTTGTAGACATATTGCACAGCCTGATGTTGAACTTGTGGCCTCAAGGATCCTCCTGCCTTGGCCTCCCAAAATGCTGGGACTACACGTATGAACCACCACACTAGGCCCCAAATGCTTTTTTTTTTTTTTTTTGAGACAGACTCTCACTCTGTTGCCCAGGCTGAAGTACAGTGGCATGGTCTCGGCTCACTGCAACCTCCGCCCCCCAGGTTCAAGCAATTCTCCTGCCTAAGCCTCCTGAGTAGCTGAGATTAAAGGTGTGCACCACCACGCCCAGATAATTTTTGTATTTTTACTAGAGACAGGGTTTCATCATGTTGACCAGGCTGGTCTCAAACTCCTGGCCTCAAGTGATCGGCCCACCTCTGCCTCCCAAAGTGCTGGGATTACAGGTGGGAGCCACTGTGCCTGGCCTCTCCCTCTTTATGTTTTGAGACAAACTTGGCTTGGTCATAGATTGTTATAATGGCCTTATTTTTTTTTTGTTGTTTGAGACAGAGTCTCACTCTGTCGCCAGGCTAGAGTGCAGTGGCACAATCTTGGCCCACTGCAACCTCCACCTCCCTGGTTCAAGCGATTCACCTGCCTCAGCCTCCCAAGTAGCTGGGATTACAGGCACATGCCACCACACCTAGCTAATTTTGGTATTTTTAGTAGAGATGGGTTTTCACCATGTTGACCAGGATGGTCTCGATCTCCTGACCTCATGATCTGCCCACCTCAGCCTCCCAAAGTGCTGGGATTGCAGGCGTGAGCCACCATGCCCAGCCTAATGGCATTATTTTTAAGCAATGGATGATCCTTTGAAAAAAATTTAAAGGAAAACAGCAATTTACTTCAAACCAGAGTGCAAGGGAGCTCGTGGAAGCAGAAGGGAAAACAGGAAGAGCCTTTCCCTTCCACGTCTGAGCACAGAACTTTTCTCCTGTAGCCAAAGAATGCTGGGTGGAGAGGATGTCCCATGGGGAGATGTCTGATGGGTCAAGATGACAGATTTTGGAGATTTCCTACAACTTGCCTGGTGTTTTTCTCAAAGACTCAGTAACCACCTTTGGAATTACATTCGTGTTTATAATTTCAAGTTCAATGCATTACATAATCAGTGTCAGAATTCGTTATTCAGGTGGCTCCTGTGAGCCTGCACCCGACCCTCCACTCCTATCCCCATCTGGCTTCCCCAGCACATGGAAAGGTTTAATGCAAAGGATTCTTTCCTTGAAGAGCACGCATTGTTACTTTTTAAAAAGCATTAAATGTGTTATGTTGTTTTAAGGAAGTAAGAAACATTTCTTTTAGAGAAGTGATTACATCTCATATAGGGCTCATTTTGGGATCATGATTTAAGGCAAATCCAGACTGAGCACGGTGGCTCAAACCTGTAATCCCAGCGCTTTGGGAGGCCGAAGCAGGCGGATCACTTGAGGTCAGGAGTTCAAGACCAGCCTGGCCAACATGGCGAAACCCCGTGTCTACTAAAAATATTAAAAGTCACTACTAAAAACAGAAAAAATTAGCCAGGGGTGGTAGCACAAGCCTGTAATCCTAGGTACTCGGGAAGCTGAGGCAGAAAAATCGCTTGAACCTGGGAGGTGGAGGTTGCAGTGAGCCGAGATTGCGCCACTGCACCACAGAGCCAGACTCCACCTCAAAAAAAAAAAAAAAAAAAGAAAGAAAGAAAGAAAGAGAGAAATTCCCTGGATTTAGGATGTCATTTCGGTTTCTTTATCAATTTGGCTCCCTCTAGAGGTCAGTTAGCAAATTTTAGTCAGCGCGACTTAACACCTTCGCCCTCTTTTGAAACAGAGTAATTTCTCCTAGGAAGGTTTTGGGGGAAATGATTGAAATTGATTAATAGAGTCTATTTTTTTAGCAAACATTACATTTAATTTTTGCTTAAAATTACTAAGACTGGCCGGGCGCGGTGGCTCAAGCCTGTAATCCCAGCACTTTGGGAGGCCGAGACAGGCGGATCACGAGGTCAGGAGATCGAGACCATCCTGGCGAACACGGTGAAACCCCGTCTCTACTAAAAAAAATACAAAAAAGTAGCCGGGCGAGGTGGCGCGCGCCTGTAGTCCCAGCTACTCGGGAGGCTGAGGCAGGAGAATGGCGTAAACCTGGGAGGCGGAGCTTGCAGTGAGCTGAGATCCGGCCACTGCACTCCAGCCTGGGCGACAGAGCGAGACTAAAAAAAAAAAAAAAAATTACTAAGGCTGCCAGGTTTACCAAATAAAAATACACGACACCCAGTAATATTTAAATTTCAGATTTAAAAAATTATTTTTTAACCTAAGAATGTCCCAAATACACTAATCTAGCAACTCTGTGTATCTCTGTATATCTGTATATAGAGACATACACTATATATACAGTATTTTACTCCTTATTTGTTGAATGAGGATTCTGAGGATCAAAACATCCAACTCCAGCCTCTCATTTTCCCATGTTCCCATAGCCTGTTCTTGTTTTTTCATTCTAAGTTTTCTTCTAAGTTCTCAAAAGAAATCAGATCATAGGTCTGGTCAGATAACTTGATTTTAAGCTTCAAAGATCCTGAGATACTGAAGGAAGCCAAAATATTTCACCCCAAAATATCCTTTGCTGACATATTTTGAGATACTTCTTCAGAGAGCCAAGCAGCCCTGCAAAGCTGTCGTCTGCGTGGAACTTTGCATCTGTAAAGCAAACCTGCATCCCTGCAGCCAGGCTCTCTGAGGTCCTCCCTGGTCCAGATCTAGGAAAGATGAACTGAGAGTCTGACATCTCTCAAGATCTGAAAGGAACATTTCCCACCTCTTCTCTTTGAGGGCTGCTACCCGTGAGGTTTCAGTTGCGTAACAAGACCACCTTTGCTAGCCAGGCGTCCTCTTCTCTCCCATCCATAATCTATTTTGCCACTGTCACCTGACTTACCACCATAACCTTTCTGAGCCCATGCTCGAAGGCCCCATTCTTTCTGTAATCTCAAAATGGTAGAAAAGTCTGGGCCCAGTGGCTCACGCCTGTAATCCCAACACTTTGGGAGGCCCAGGTGGGTGGATCACTTGAGGTCAGGAGTTCAAGACCAGCCTGGCCAACATGGCCAAATCCCATATCTAATAAAAATACAAAAAATTAGTCGGGTGTGGTGGTGGGGTATTCCCAGCTACTCTGGAGGCTGAGGCACGAGAATCACTTGAACCTGGGAGGTAGAGGTTGCAGTGAGCCAAGATGGCGCCACTGCACTCTAGCCTAGGCAGCGGAGTGAGACTCCGTCTCAAAAAAAAAAAAAAAAAAGGCAGAAAAGCTTCTGTGCTCCACTGGGAAGCTGGGGTAATCGCTCCGTGATTTTCCCCTGTGCGTGTTAATAGATTTGCATGCTTTGTCTCTTAATAATCTGCCTTTGTCTGTTGATGTTCAGCAAAGCTTCGTGAAGTTTCCCTTGGCCCTTACAGTGTTGGCGTCATAGACAGGATACTAAAGCTGCTCTACTTTTCTGGAAGCCACAGTCCAGGGAACCCAGGACCTGTCAAAGCATCAGAAAGGTAAGAAATTCCTACCAGCCAGCCTCTCGGCCTCTCTCCGTGAAATCCAATCAAGCAGACAGCAGAAATCACTGTTTGTCTCTTTCCCCTTTCCTAAAATCTTGATTAACTGGAGAAAAGGATTTGTGTGACTAGTCTTGGGTTAAGTAGCGATTCTGGTGTACTTTTAGGCATGAATATTCATATCGTCTCATCCTTTTTCTCTCAGAGTCTTTTCCATTGTATTTTGTTATGGATCTGTCATAAAGAGGGGTGCCATAGGGTAGAACATGGACCTAGAACCCTCAGAAGCGCACTGTGCCAGCTGGCCCTGCAGTTTGTTTGTTTGTTTGTTTGTTTGTTTTGAGACAGAGTCTTGCTCTGTCACCCAGGCTGGAATGCAGTGGCGTGATCTTGGCCCACTGCAACCTCCGCCTCCCGGGTTCAAGTGATTTTCTTGCATCAGCCTCCTGAGTAGCTGGAATTACAGGCATGCGCCACTGTGCCTGGCCAATGAGTCCTATTTATAAGGTGCTTTTGTTGTCTCAACCTTGCTGCCTGGTTAGTCCTGGGAAAGTCCAATCCCAGGAGGGCCTGCCTGGTGTCACAGCTTAATAGGTGTGTGACTGGCGGCCCCCCACAAATTTGTGGGATACTAGAGGCACTGTATGTAAAAACACCATCCTTTATCATCTGTGGCAACAAGAACCTTTTGCTGCCTTAGTCTATTCCTGGGAGTCAATTTGTGAGGATGGGGATTGTTGAGGCTGCCTGTTCTATGCCCTCTCCAAGAAGCACCTCTTGTTTATTGGTAAAAACTTAATTGAAACCTGGAAAATTACCTCCTGGGCATTCCATGAAGAGGCTTATTAGATTGAGTTGCTATTTGTGTAAGTACATCTCAGGAAATTCTTTTTTTTTTTTTTTTTTTTTTTGAGACAGAGTCTCGCTCTGGCACCCAGGCTAGAGTGCAGTGGCTCGATCTCGGTCCCCTGCAACCTCCGCCTCCTGGGTTCAAGCAATTCTGCTGTCTCAGCCTCCCAAGTAACTGGGATTACAGAGGCGCACCACCATACCCGGCTAATTTCTGTATTTTCAGTAGGGGTGAAGTTTTTGTTGGCAGGCTGGTCTCGAACTCCTGACCTCAAGTGATCCACCCACCTCGGCCTCCCAAAGTGCTGGGATTACAGGCTTGTGCCACCGTGCCTGGCCACATCTCAGGAAATTCTAATCATCAGTGGCCAAAAGATTGATTCTTTAAATTACAAAGGCCCCCTAAACTGAAACTATTTTAGAGACCTCTCATTCCAAACAAGTGCCTTATTTGTGTTTAGGGAAAGAGCAAATTAAAAGAAAGGCACTAATAGTATCATGGCTAGCCTTAGACATTTTCCTAACAAAAGTTTCAGAACAAAAATCTGACAGAAAACAAAATTAAAATCCTTTGTACACTCAAATTGCCTGCTTTGGATTCCCTGCAGAACTTGTAGTGGCAGCCACTCCACCTTGTGGCCTAGGAGTTAAAATTCTGTGCTTTCACCACTGTGGACTGGGTTTGATTCCCAGTTAGGGAGCCACTTCCTTTTGGTTAAAAGGTTCAAAACCCCAAAATATTGGCTGTTTTTCCTGGTTGAAATCTGATAATAAGAGATTATTATCTCTTATTATTATCTCAGTAAGGGCTTCAGCTATGTGAGACAGATAAACTTTAACCTGTTCCATTTATATAAACACAGTTTAATCCACCTGTCCTTTTAAACTAGTGAGTTTTACCAGTCTCATGGCTATAATTTTGAAATCAAAGCTGTAAGGCCTTTATTTACTTCTGCATGTTTTTCTTTTCTTTTCTTTTCTTTTCTTTTTTTTGTTTGTTTGAGACGGAGTCTCACTCTGTCGCCCAGGCTGGAGTGCAGTGGCACTATCTCGGCTCATTGCAAGCTCTGCCTGCCAGGTTCAAGCGATTCTCCTGCCTCAGCCTCCTGAGTAGTTGGGATTACAGGCACCCACCACCACACCCAACTAATTTTGTATTTTTAGTAGAGATGGGGTTTCTCCATGTTGATCAGGGTGGTCTTGAACTCCTGACCTCAGGTGATCCACCAGCCTTGGCCTCCCAAAGTGCTGGGATTACAGGTGTGAGCCACTGCGCCCAGCCATCTGCATGTATTTTTATATACACATGTTTGCTTGTATATTGTCTACATGGTGCCAAATTGACTTATAAACAAATTAGCATTTATAAATTAAGTAAATGAGCCCAAATTATTTTCAAATTCATGCAACTTTAATAACCTTTGATAAATAAAGCCAGTTTTAATATTGTTGATACAATAAAATAAAAACATCGTCTGAATTTAATTTAGACATTCTGCCTGAGTTTAGACAGGTTTATACTGTCTCCATGATGTTTTAAGGTTGTAAACCTGTTAACAGCTTCTGTAATTTTTCTTGTTGTTGTTGTTGTTTTTGAAACATGGTCCTGCTCTGTTGTCCAGGCTGGAACACTACAGCCTTGGCCTTCCAGGCTCAAGTTATCCTCTCACTTCAGCCTCCCGAGTAGCTAGGACTACAGGTGCATGCCTCCATACCTGCCTAAATTTTTTTTTTACTTTTTGAAGGGATAGCGTCTCCTTATGTTGTCCGGGATGATCTTGAACTCCTGGGCTCAAGAGATCCTCCCGCCTCAGCCTCCCAAAGTGCTAGGAGATATTTTTGAAACTTGCTTGATTTGTCTGTGACTTTATGACTTAGGTTTGGAGCCATTTGATTCTGGAGTCTACACAGTGGCCATGGTGAGGCCTGGGGACCCACGTGTGTCTGCAGTGCCTAGGCCCATCTTCCCTGGCCCAGCAGGATTTCCTGGCCATTCCGGGAAGGGTTGGGTCCTCTGGGTATTGTCTTTACAGCTCTGGCCTCTGTCCTGGGCTCTGCCCCTGATACATAGCAATTAAAATGACTTACTCCCTAGGTTTTTCACTGAAAAATAGGGCTACTAAGAGTTAAAATTATTGTTAATATATAACTAAAACTAGAACTGAAAGAAACACTTCTGTATACAGAGTGTATAAGAAAAGTATGTGTTTTTGGTGAGGAGGGTGATAGGAAAGGCATGAGAATGTGGTTTTTGCTACAGGAAAAGTAATTTTGTCTAGTTTAGATGAATAGATATAGAAAGTTGTGGGGGAAGAATGAGAAAACTTGGAAGAGGTTATGAAAGGTAAACAGAAATCTTACTTTGTGTGGTCAAAGTTGATTGAAATTGGATGCATCTATTTATAAGGCTTTGTTGAAATTGGCCTATTAATAATACACTAATACAGCATAACATGGTAGCTCACGTCTGTAATTCCAGCACTTTGGGAGGCCAAGGCGGGGAGATCACTTGAGTCCAAGAGTTCGAGACCAGCCTGGGCAACATGGAAAAACCCCGTATCTACTAAAAATGCAAACACTTGCTGGGCATGGTGGTGCACCTCTGTAATCCCAGCTGCTTGAGAGGCTGAGGCAGGAGGATCGCTTGAACCCGGGAAGTGAAGGTTGCAGTGAGCTGAGATCGCGACGCTCCTCTCCAGCCTGGGCAACAGAGCAAAACTCTGTCTCAAAACCAAAACAACACAAAACGCTAATGCAAAAGTAGAAGTTGGTTTTCTCTTTTGAATGAGATTTTCGTGTAGTATTAACAAAAGCAAAAGGTTTTGTTTACCTTTGAGATCAACTGTAAAAAAGGGGAGAAGGAGAGACAGATTCTGTTGGTCTTATGCTATCTTTATTAGGTCTTTTGATCGTTTGAAAAACTGAGTGTCTCTCTATCAAAGAGTAAAGGTTTTTGCTTTTTGAAATCTGAATTATCGCTTTAGCTAAATGAATATTACTTTGCAGTGACCTGTACTCCTATTTTGATCAAGTGTTTTAAACCTTTCATATCGGATAAACATCCCAAAGTCAAATTTTAAATTCTAAAACTGTCCTTTTAACCTCGAACTAACTTTTAGAGGTTCCAAAAAGGACCCCTGGGAGTCCAAGAGAGATGTGTTAGGCGTATGTACTACGTAAATAACTATATGGGAAGCATTGTTAAATGAGAAATGGTATTTAACCTTCTTTGAGTTATATTTATATAAATGTATTATCAATATGTGCTCCAAAATTGTATGAGATTCCTAAAATTCTTATGTGTCTCAGTATTTGTTATCAGTCATAAATATCACTATTATGTCAATTTTTGGTTTTTATTTTTGTTTTTAAGAGACAGAGTCTCACTCCGTCACACAGGCCAGAGTGCAGTGGTGTGTTTCTTACCCAGACTGGTCTTGAACTCCTGGCCTCAAAGGATCGACCTGCTTCAGCCTCCCAAAGTGTTGGGATTACTGGCGTGAGCCACTGTGCGTGGCCGATGATTATGTTTTTTGTTTCTTTGTTTTTGAGATGGGGTCTCACTCTGTCGCCCAGGCTAGAGTGCAATGGCGCCATCTCGGCTCACTGCAACCTCCGCCTCCCGGGTTCAAGCGATTCTCCTGCCTCAGCCTCCCAAGTAGCTGGAATTACAGGCGCCCACCACCAAGCCCAGCTAATTTTTGTATTTTTAGTAGAGATAGGGTTTCTCCATGTTGGTCAGGCTGGTGTTGAACTCCTGACCTCAGGTGATCCCCCCACCTCGGCCTCCCAAAGTGCTGGGATTACAGGCGTGAGCCACTGCACCTGGCCCGTATTATGTGAAACTGTAGTATGCTGCAGCACGGTGCAGGCCTGAGTCCCTGGTCACGGTGGGTGAGGAAAAGAAGAGCCTCTACTGAAGCAGTTCTCAGCCCTGTCAGGGTATCTTAGTCCATTTTCTGTTGCTTTTAACAGAATACCTGCAACTGGGAAATTTCTAAAGGAAAGGAGTTTACTTCTTACAGTGGAGGCTGAGAAGTCCAAGGTCAAGGGTCAGCACCTGGTAGGAGCCTTCTTGCGGGTGGGGACTGCGGAGTTGTGAGGGTGTCGCCCGGTGGAAGGGGCTGTGTGTGCTAGCTCAAGGCTCTCTTCCTCTTATAAAGCCACCAGTGCCACTCCCACAATAACCATTAATCCATTAGCCCATGAACCCGTGAATGGGTTCATGGGCTAATCCATTCATGAGAGCAGAGCCCTCATGACCCAGTCGCCTCTTAAAGGCCCTGCCCCTCAAGACTGCCACATTGGGGATTCAGTTCCAACACCTGGCATTTGCCAGACACATTAAACCACAGCACTGGGTAACAGAATTGTCTGTAGAGCTTTGTAAAAATACACGTTTCCTAGAGTTTCTGATTGAGTAGCACAGGCTTCAGGCACAAGTCTTTCTGGTTTCACTCCTATACAGAGGTCCTTCCTCCGTCCTGTTCGTGTGTGTTTAGAAATCTAACAGATGATTCCTGACAATACTCATTACTGCTGGTTCCCATCTGAGTATGTTTGGGCATCCTGCCACCAGAACCAGTTGGTGACAATTCTAAATCCATTTAATGTTCTGAATGTGGGGCTCCAGAAATTCCTTCTTAAATCTCTTTTGCTTCTCTGCCTCAGGGGCTGTCATTACTGCAACATTTTGTGGCAAGTTCCAAAGACAGATAAGAAGGCTGTCTTCAGTTCCTGTCCTGCCTTCCCTATAAAGTATCTGATTTCTGAATTTTTCTTTTTTTTAAAGAGAGAGGGTCTCACTCTGTTGCCCAGATTGGAGTACAGTGGTGCAATCATAGCTCACTGTGACCTTGAACTTCTGGCCTCAAGTGATCCTCCTGACTCAGCCTCCCGAGTAGCTGGGACCACAGGTGCATGCCACAATGCTTAGCTAATTTATTTATTTATTTATTTATTTATTTATTTATTTGAGATAGAGTTTCGCTCTTGTTGCCCAGGCTGGAATGCAATGGTGAGATCTCGGCTCACTGTGACCTCCGCCTCCTGCATTCAAGCGATTCTCCTGTCTCAGCCTCCCCCATTACAAGCATGTGCCACCACGCCTGGCTAATTTTGTATTTTTAGTAGAGATGGGGTTTCTCCATGTTGGTCAGGCTGGTCTTGAACTCCCGACCTCAGGTGATCCGCCCAACCCAGTCTCCCAAAGTGCTGGGATTACAGGAGTGAGCCACTGTGCCCAGCCTGCCTGGCTAATTTTTTAAATAGAGATAGTGTCTTGCTTTGTTGCCCAGGCAAGTCTCAAACTCCTGGCCTCAAGTGATCCTCCCACTTCGGCCTCCCAAAGCTCTGGGACTACAGGTGTGAGCCACTGTGCCTGGTGTGGTGTCTTCTTACCTCAAATGGGAGCTTTGTGATTGCCTGATAGCCAGGCTCATAGTAGAACCACAGGCTCCAGAGGTTCCCATTCCATGGGAAAAGCAGAATAGGGTCTTAATCAATCCATATGTGACTGTCAAGGATCCCTCCCCCTCCCACGAAAGTTGCCAATTTCTCTTTTTAAATTAGTGCATATTCTAGACCTCGGTGGTAAAATCGAGAGAGACTCCAATGAGATACCTCCCCACAATTCACAACAAAATAGAGAGGTGGTTTAAAAGCAGCAAAATAATGCAGTGGCAAGTACAAAAGGTACTTGTGGATAGGGCATGGAGGGATTGGTCTTACTTATATCATAATCTTAAAAAATTCCCATCAAGAGTAAGAGTGACGTGGGAGAGTCCCACTATCCTCTTGACCAAGCAGGTTCTAGCTGCTCCTGACTCATCCCATTCCCACTCCTAGCAGCAGTATAAGGGGAACAGATGTCGTGCTCGCCTCAGCAGCACGTATACTAAAATTGGAATGATACAGAGAAGATTCACATGGCCCCTTTAAAAATATTTAATAAAAAGGCAGGGCGAGGTGGCTTATGCCTATAATCCCAGCACTTTGGGAGGCCGAGGCAGACAGATCACTTGAGGTCAGGAGTTCGAGACCAGCCTGACCAACATGGTGAAACACCATCTCTACTAAAAATACACAAAAATTAGCTGGGTGTGGTGGCACGCGGCTGTAGTCCCAGCTACTCAGGAGGCTGAGGCAGGAGCATCGTTTGAACCCGGGAGGCGGAGGTTGCAGTGAGTCGAGATCACGCCACTATACTCCAGCCTGGGCAACAGAGCAAGACTTTGTCTCTAAATAAATAAATAAATAAATAAGAGGAACGGAGGTGAGTGGCAGTGGGGAATTCCTTAAGAATCACCCTAATATACCCAACAAGAAAGGGGCGGGCCACACAGAGACATAGGAATCCAAGGATGAATTTTTCCCAAGAACAGAAATCGCGGCGTTCCACTTGCCATTTTGTTGGCTCTCCCTGGGTTGGGAGGAAAGCTGGAGAAAGTGGTTCCAGTTTTTGGCATCTATGGAGATAATCGTATTTTTCCTTCTTAACAAATGAATATGAGTTATATTCATAGATTTCTTAACAGTTTTCCATTAAAATTTTTTTTTGAGTTTTTGTGTTCCCGAGGTGAATCTCACTTAGTTGATCTATATTGCTATTTAAATGTACTTTGAAATCATCTTTATGAATATTTTATTCAGAATTTTGGCTCTCATATTTAAAAATGAAATTGGTCTGTAATACTTTCCCCCTCTCCAGCAGCTGGATCCATGGGCTTGGCAGCCACAGTGATCATGAACTTCCGGCTATGTCCTAGAGTCATTTCTCTCTGAGGATGTCAGGAGGAACCCCAAAATGTCATCAAGACACTGGCTGCAGGTAGGCCTCCTGTTTCTGCCACTGCTCCTACCGCCACTATTTGGCCATAAGTTCCTGCCATCACAGTTGGCGTGCACATGCACGCAGACTCACATTCACACTTTGTGAGCGTGAACAAGTAGGTTCCCAGGGAAGCCTTTATCACACAGCAAATCCCACCGAACACTTCCACCTCCCACAAAAAGGAGCCCTGGAGTTACGAAATTCTCTCCTCTCCAATGCACGGGAGTGTTCAAGTTCTCCAAACCTGGGGGCAGCCAATGCTCAGGCTCTAGGCAAGCAGCTTCCCCCCCAAGCACACCGATAGATTTCCCAACAGAAACAGGTCCTTTTTTTTTCCTCTCAAAAGTATTCTGGTGCCAGCTACAAAAAATATATACACTTTCCCGCCTTATAATAGTAGCTACAAAATAAATGTATGTATTTTCAATGTATTTTAAGGAGATATGATATTAACATTTGGGTATATTTTATTGACAGAAGGGATTGTACTCGGTGTTGTCAACCCTTTACTTAATATTTTTTAAAAACTACAGATAGGTTGGGTGTGGTGGCTCACACCTGTAATTCCAGTACTTTGGGAGACTGAGGCAGAAAGATCACTTGAGGCCAGGAATTCAAGACCAGCCTGGCCAACACAGCAAGATCCTATCTCTACAAAAAAAATTTAAAAATTAAAAAAAAACTATAAATAAAATCTCAAATGCATGCTCTATTACTTCACGGGTGGTGGTGGAGTCTGCAATCTGTAGTCTTGTGAATAAACATACCCCAACCGACGTTCAAAATAATGGGACCAAAGGTAAAATTGAATCACTAAAATCACAGTACAGATCTGCTTAGGTCAGACTCCACAATGCGGGAGCTGTGTCAGTTAGGAGTTGCATTCCCCGAGGAGTAACAGAAACCTCATGAGAGTGGCTTGAATACTAGAGTTTATTCTCATATAACAGCCCCGACACAGGGGGCCTTTCAGGAGCCAGTATGGCGGCTTCACATAAAAGCCACGCTGGAGTCCTTACAATGCTGTTTCTGCCTCTCCATCCTCAGAGTGTGACCTGTCATCAAGGTCACCTTGTAATTTAGGACGGCCTGGATCCTCCTCAGCCATCATGTTTGCAAGTTAGGCAGCAGAGAGGGCAAAAGTGAGCAGAAGTGGCTTTTTTTTCTTCTTTTGGAGACAGTCTCACTCCTTCGCCCAGGCTGGAGTGCAGCGGCGCGGTCTGGACTCACTGCGGCCTCTAACTCCTGGGCTCAAGGGATCCTTCCACCTCAGCCTCTGGAGTAGCTGGAACCAGAGGCACCCACCACCACACCCGGCTAATTTTTGTATTTTTAGTAGAGAAGGGGTTTTGCCACGTTGCCCAGGCTGGTCTTAAACTCCTGGCCTCAAGCAGTCCACACGCCTCGGCCTCCCAAACTGCTGGGATTACAGGCGTAAGCCATTGCACCTGGCCTATAGTGTTATTTTAGGAGCGTAAAACTAACACAAATGGTATAACTCTTAGATCAGTTTACAGTTTTTTCTTATGGGAAACACGGTCCAGCATTGATCCTTTGGATCCACGTAGCTGTAATTCATGCATTTGAACTGCTGAATAGCATTCCTTTGTAGGAATAAGCTACAGTTACCCTTCCTTACCGAAGGACACTTAGGTTGTTTCCAACATTTTCTTTTATCTTTTTTTTTTTTTTTTTTTGAGGCAGAGTTTTGCTCTTGTCACCCTGGCTGGAGTGCAGTGTTAAAATCTCAGCTCACTGTAGCCTCCGCCTCCCGGGTTCAAGCGATTCTCCAGCCTTGCCTCCTGAGTAGCTGGGATTACAGGCATGCCCCCAGCTAATTTTGTATTTTTAGTAGTATTTTTAGTAATTTTTTATTTTTAGTGGCCGGGCTGGTGATCCACCGGCCTCATATTCCTAAAGTGCTGGGATCACAGGCGCCCGGCTAAAATTTTCTATTATAAACATTGTTGCAGTAAACAGTCTCCTTGTATCAGCCTCCTTATTTGAGAGCCTCTCAGATATAAACCTAAGAGGTCTCCCAACATACCTGCCTCTTCAAGGCTGATAGATAGCGACCAATTTCTCTATAAAGATGCAATTTACATTCCAACTAGTAGTGTATGAGTCCCCATTCCTCCCTATCCTCCCAACACTAGGTGGTATTATAGTTTTTCACCCATCTGCTGAATATGAAATGATAATTATTGTTTAAACTTCATTTCCTCAAAAACAAGAAAGATTCAGCAGATTTTCCTGTTTATTCATTGCTTTTTCCCTTTTGTAAACATTCAGTTTTCACCCATTTTGCATGTGGATTGTTGTATTTTTCCTTATTAATTTATGTTAGTTCTTAAGGCCGGGCACGGTGGCTCACACCTGTAATCCCAGCACTTTGAGAGGCCACAGTGGACAGATCACTTGAGGTCAGGAGTTCAAGACCAGCCTGGCCAACATGGTGAAACCCTGTCTTTACTAACACTACAAAAAAAAAAAAAAAAAAAATTAGCTGGGCATGGTGGCGGGTACCTTTAGTCTCAACTACTGGGGAGGTTGAGGCATGAGAATTGCTTGAACCTAGGAGGTGGAGGTTGCAGTGAGCTGAGATCGCACCACTGCACGCCAGTCTGGGCAACAAAGTAAGACTCTGTCTCAAAAAAAAAAAATTAGGCTAGTTCTTGTTATATCTAGATAATAATCCTCTGCCAGTTTTATGTGATGAAAATATCTTCTAGTCTGTGGTTTGTCTCTTACCCTTGTTATGGTGTTATTTGTCATACAGCAGTTTTCTTTTTTTAACATAGTTGATCTCTACCTGACTTTTCTCTATTGTTTGAGCTTTTCAATAATTTTTCAACAAATCTTAATCCTGATATAGACATTCTTCTAATTTCCTTCGAAAGTTTTAAAGTTTGATTGATAGAATGTATTTTTATTATTTATTTATTTATTTTTGAGGCAGAATCTCGCTCTGTCGCCCAGCATGGAGTGCAGTGGTGTGATCTCGGCTCACTGCAACCTCTGCCTCCTGAGTTCAAGCGATTCTCCTGCCTCAGCCTCCTGAGTAGCTGAGATTACAGGCACACACCACAACGCTCAGCTAATTTTTGTATTTGTAGAGATGGGGTTTCACCATGTTGGCCAGGCTGATCTCGAACTCCTGACCTCAAGTGATCCACCCGCCTCAGCCTCCCAAAGTGCTGGGATTATAGGTGTGAGCCACTAGACCTGGCCAGAATGTATTTTATTAAATGAGGTATGTGCCTCATTTAATTTATCATATGCATAGGCAGTTATCCAGCACCGTTTATTGAATAGTCTGTTCTTTTCCTCCTGGTTTGTAATACCAGCTCTAGACATACCGTACTCAGCAAGTGGTTGTCACTCCTTTCTGTTTCATTGGTCTCACACTCTGCATCTGTTCCATATTACTCAAATCACAATCGTTTTCTAGAAAGTCTTGATACCTGGAAAGCAAGTTTCTCTCCTTATTTAAGTCATTTGACTATTTTTTACTGTGTTAGTCTCCTGTTGCTGTTATAACAAATTACCACAAACTTAGGGGCTGAAAACAAAACAGGTTTATTCTCTTGCAGCTCTGGAGCTCTGTGTTCCTCCTGGAGGCTCTTGGGAAGAATCCACGTCCTTGTCTTTTCCAGCTTCTAGAAGCTGCCTACATTTTTGGGCACGTGGTTCCTTCCCCTTCTGCGAGGCAGCAGTGCAGCATCTTCTGGTCTCTCTCTCTGCTCCTCTGGTCACATAGCCTCTTTCTCACTCTGACCATCCCACTGCCCTCTTAGAAGGACCCTAGTGATTGGCCTACCCAATAATCCAGGATAATCTCCTCATCTCAAGTCTCTTAATTTAATCACATCTGAAAAGTCTCTTTTGCTATTGTAACATATCCACAGGTCCAGCCTTTAAAGAGGTGGACATTTGCATGGGAGCCATGATTCAGTCACCACATTGGCCTTTCACAATTCACTGTGAGTTTTGAGATGTTTGCCGGGTTCTATGGAAAAAGAAGCCCTGTTAGGGTGTTGATTGGAGTAGTATTGAATTTATAGATTGATTTGAGAACTGACATCTTTAGAATACTGAGCTTTTCCATTTATAACATGGTTTCTCTATTTAGGCCTTCTTTTGTGCCCTTTAGTAAAGATTTACAATTTTGTTCTGTAAAATTTTTGTATAGCCTTTGTTACGTTTATTCCTAGGCGCTGTGTATATGTTTTGCTGTTATGAACATGATTTTTTACTATTCAATTTCTACTTATTTTTTGTAGGTATATAGGAATACTACTAAATTTTAATTTACACATTTATCTTTTATTTAGCAAACTTACTGAATTTTATTTTGCTTTCTAACCTTTTGTCTGCAGATTCTTCTGAATTTTGTATATGGACATTTTAATCTGTAAATAATGACAACTTGGTTTTTTTGTTTTTTCTTATCTTGTTGCACTAACTAGGCACTTCATTACAATATTGAATCATGCTTCTAACTACACTAATAAGTAAGCTGGTTGTACACTGTCAAGTTTTGGGAGTTCCTATCTGTATTAGTCTGTTCTCACACTGCTATAAAGAAATACCTGAGACTGACTAATTTATACATGGAAGAGGTTTAATTAACTCATGGCTGGGTTCCACATTGCTGGGGAGGCCTCAGGAAACTTACAATCATGGCGGAAGGCAAAAAGGAAGCAAGCATCTTCTTCACAAGGCAGCAGGAAAGGGCGTGTGTGAAGGAGGAATTGTCAAACACTTACAAAACCATCAGATCTCGTGAGAACTCCTCACTGTCATGAGAACAGCATGGGGAAAACCACCTCCATGATTCAATCATCTCCCACCAAGTCCTTCCCTCGACATGTGGGGATTATGGGGATTACAATGCAAGCTGAGATTCGGGTGGGGAGACAGCCAAACCATATCACCATCTATTCTTGGTTTGCCAAGAAGTTTGTCTTATAAATGTTTTGACAACAAGAAAGGGTGTTGAACCATAGCTAATGATTTTCTGCATCTAGTGAAATATGTTTTCTTTCTCTTTTTGAATGTTAATCTGTTGATGTGTATCCCTAGGATAAACCCTACTTGGTCGTACTGTAATATTTTAAATATATATCTGGGTTTAGTTTACTAACACTTTATTTAGATCTTTTATATATTAGTTTATCAATTAGATTAGCATATACATTTTCTTTTATACTGGACTTTCCCAATTTTACTACAAATGTTTTACAAATCTCATAAAATAAGTTAGGTTTCTTTTACTATTTTCTGTAACTGTTTTTTTTCTAGGATAGGAATCCATACCTTGAAATCTGATAGCACTTGCTTGTAAAGCTGAATGACCCTGGTGTTATTTTGTATAATTAATTTTTCTGAATGCTTATACTGTTCACGGTTTCTCTTTTCCCTTGAGTTGGCTTAGAAATTTATGATTTTCTAGAAAAATGGCCCAGCTTGTCTGAGTGTTGTCACTGATCAGCACAAGGTGCTGCCAGAGGGTGGGCTCTGAGATGGACTTGGCATGCACACAGGGGTTCATAAGGATGCTCTTGGGAGGGCAAGAGTCCAAGAGTGGGTGGAGGGAGAAACAGCTCCTGTGCTGGTCAAATGACCACCTCATCTGACCCCACAGGGAGCTCAGGAGTGAGATCGACCCTAGGTGTTGTCTCGCGGGGCCACCTGGGTCCGTTGCTGGATACAGACCTGTAAGCATCGGGTGAGGCAGCACCCAAAGGGACTGAGTTGAAAGCTGTGGGCTGACAGCACTCCCAGCAGCTAAGGGCAAGATCTTTTATGGCAGGGGAGCGGGGGATGTCCCAGTCTTCCCCACAGCCACCCCTGCCCGCCAGCTGCTCAGTCACATACATTAAGAGGGTTAAGAGAGCAGCTCCTTGGAGGTTCTGGGGAGTGTGGGGGAGCCTCCTCCTGGGGATGTTTTTTTCTTTTTCTTTTTTTAGAGACAGGATCCCACTTTGTCACCCAGGCTGGAATGCAGTGTTGCCATCATAGCTCACTGCAACCTCCAACTCCTGGCCTCAAGGGATCCTCCTGCCTCAGCCTCCCAAGTAGCTGGGACTACAGGTGTATACCACCATACCTGGCCTATGGGAGAATTTAGAAGAGGAAGATTAATAGGACAAACCACAGCCCTTCCCAACACAGCTGGCCTCAGGCTGCGGTCCACACTCCTCGTCTCTTTCCTCTACGTCTGTTCCCCATTCATCCATCCCTCAGCTGGCACATCTGCTGTTCTCAGCCGGGGTCACTGCACTTGAGGTGCCCACATGGATGGCCTGGGTGCCAAACATATGCTTCCAGTCTGGAGCAGAAGCCTTTCCTCCTCCTGGTAATGGTTGCCAGTCAGTGCCACCAGAGGGTGACTCCCCTTCCTGCTGCAAGGTCCCTTGGCACAAGGAGATTAAGTCCCCCAGTGGCACCTCCCCTGGCAAAAGTGTCCTCCTGGGACCAGGCCCTTTAGACCTGCAGAACCCAAACTTACAGCGATGGGAAATGCCAATTCCTTTCCCAGCTGGTCCCTGGAGGTGAGACAGGCAGGGCCTCTGGTCCCTAGGCCCATGCATTCTTCCCACTGAGCACTGCGTAAAGGTCTCTAAAGTGCAGCCTGTGTCCTGGAGGATGGCACCTCATCCCCTGAAAGTCCTGCCCTGGAGTGGGCCCTTCAGCCGCGCCTCTATCAGGTCCGCTGTTCTGTGGCTTCACTACAGGATCCTGTGTTCCTGGGCCACTCCCCCACCTCCCTTGCTGTAACATGGGTCCCAGGCCTGATGTGATGTTACGAGGTATCCCATGCCAGAGGATCAAACATTCTGTCTCTGTCCCTTCCAAGGTGGAAGAGGGTCCCTGTCACTGACTTGCCACCTAGTGGCTGGTTCTTCTCCAGTGCCAGTGAAGGGCACAGTACTGGTCTCTGCTGTTGGCAGATTGGATATTCAGTTGCATACATTGCTAGATTAGCTTGGCAAGTAGACGTATTAGTTCCATATTGCTGCATAACAATCCCCAAACTTAAGAGGCTTAACAGAGTATTTATTATCTCACAGTTTCTGTAAATCAGGAATCCGGCCCTGGCTTAACTGGGTCCTCTAACTAAGGGTCTTTCACAGGCTACAATCAAGATACTGGCCAGGGGCTGGACGCAGTGGCTCACACCCATAATCTTAGCACTTTGGGAGGCTGAGGTGGGAGGATCGTTTGAGGCCATGAGTTCGAGAACAGCCTGAGCATTATTTTTATTTAAAAATTTAAAAATGTGCCAGGTATGGCAATGGACACCTGTAGTCCCAGCTACTCGGGAGGCTGAGGTAGGACGATCACTTGAGCCCAGGAGTTTGACGCTGCAATGAGCTATGATTGCACCACTGCACTCCAGCCTGGGCGACAGAGTGAGACCTAGTCTTTAAAAGAAAAACAATAATAAAAATAATAAATAAAATAAAATTATTGGTTAACTATAAATGGGAATGAATAATCTTACTGGGGTGATGGAAATGTTCTAAATCTGTACTGTGGTGATGATTATACAATTTGGTAAATTTGTTAAAAAATCATTGAATTGTACAGTTAAAATGGGTGAGTTTTCTGGTGTAAAAGTTATACCTCAGTTAAGTTACAAATACACACCACATTAGTTGTAATGCTCTGTACAACCACAGAATGTCAGCGAAGACAGCCATGAAGGACTTTTTTCATAAACCAGATTTTCCAATGAAAATGCCACCAACCACTAGATGTAGCTGCCTTTTCACGACAAGAAGGCCTTTGTTCTGCGTCTCAGGAACTTGAAGTTATCAAACATCAGGAATAAGGAAATATTTGCAAGTATCAGCTTATTCAAATCGATCATGATTGAGCCTATCAAATCATTTTATCCTTGGGTACAATTTAATAAGCAATTGCTTTTCTGCTAAGAAAAATAAGTGTCAATAAAACTTTTCAAATAACATGGAAAAATCTTCTAAAGAAAATATAGCCTCTCCCTTCATTACTTCAGTTCTTTCAAGAATATTTAAATAATAAACTGGGTTATGGGACAGTAACCCTCCTAATGTACACTGAAAACCACAACCTTTTCTAAGCCAGTGATAATTTCTGTTAACTTGGTGCGGCCCTGTTAGGTTGAGAAGGGCAGAGGAAACTCCTGTGGTGGAAAATTTTCAGTCAGTCACAGTTTGGCACATTTATAAATAACATAAGTAAAACAAAATTTGCCCAAGTAAAGTCTTCATGTGTCAAAATCTTAATCTAGTTACCAGAATCAAAGTAGATGTCCTGCCTTCATCACAGGCCAGTTTCAGCCTAAGACTTTTTTTCTCTTAAATGCTGGGCAAGCCTCAGAATGGATTATTAAAAATACTGATATTGAAGACATTCTGAAAGACAATTTTATGGGTTCATGACCTGAGTACTAAGAATCTAGAAGCTGTGTTCACAGGGATGAGGGAAAAAACAAGATCTGATGAACTCTTCTCTGAAATGAACATTTCGTGTGAAAATTTTCATCACAGTGTCACAAATGTCAAGGTCAATGTGGAGAAAACAGAGTTTTCCAATCAAACAGAGGTCAAGTGACCTTGCCAAAGTGACACAGGGAGTTTTAACAGAAAAGCTAGGACCAGAACCCAGGTCTGGTGGCTGTCAGCCATGGTTCCTCGAGCCAAGCCCACACCCACTGTTCATTCTGCCCTTCACAGCGCCTGTAGCTTTGGGCTTTGTCGTTTTGTTTCTGTAGTTCTTTTTATCCAGGATGGATTTTTAAGAACATAGGTAATCACTGTCTGACTCATTTTAAAAATCAAAGTCATGAAACAGGGGTGTCTGGGATCCTAAATGCTCTAGAAGTATTCAAGTAATTGATTGTAGTGAAAATCCCTAAGAAACCACAGCTAATCTCAATGTCCTTTGGTGGGTAAAGTCTATACCAGCTATGGAAGAGTCCCCGTAGATTTTCTGCTAAGCCCCTCCAGCAACCCAGTCTTCTTTCTCTATTATTACATGGGATGTTCCCTGTATGAAACCTTCTGCCCGTACTCCAACTTCCCCTCCCTGCCCCCCAAAACTGCCACAATCCTGTATTCCTGGAGCAACAGCAACCCAGCATTTAATGATGTTAAGTCAGGTTACTTGACTAGAAAGACTAATAGGTTAGGCATGTTATACCCTTGATAAAGTAGATTTGTCTTCTACCCTTCTAGGTCTAAACTCCAATAAAATCCAGGTGGGTTACATCAATTCAGACATCTGGATAAAAGGATGAATGAAACCATGTACATAATGCAAAACTGTGCATGCCAGGAAAAGAAATTATACTGCCTAAAAGCTGCAACCTTCATGACATCAAATCTATTTTAATACTGGCTGGTTATGTGAGGAAAAGGCTAATAATAAAAAAAAAATTCTGGCTGACCAAAGAAGTATGCATGTGTGTGTATTTATTTTTAAATTAATATTGAGATGGATTAATGTTCTAAAATTTGGACTTTTTAACATTATCTTATTCATAATATCATATATTATATCAAAAGTCTCTGAATAGAAACTGTTCAAAGGCATCTAATCTAATAATCATTACCATGTCACTAATCTAACCTCTAAGCAATTGCTAAATGCCATCAGTACCTTCATCTCCGATCACATTTTCATGATATTTCAAGCTACAATAACAAAACAGATGCTGATCTCGGCATTACTAAGCAACAGGATATGTATACTTTTTAGAGTATGAAAATATCACCGCTCTCCCACAGTCAATGATACTTATTTTCCAAGAACTGTCAAAAACTTCTAGTGATATGGTTATGCTCATCCAATTCCCATGAGGCCAACACTGTGATCACAGGTTACGATAAAAACTAAAATGCCACCCACAGCCATGTCTGAGTGATACGTAAAACGCTTTGACTCTTTTCCACTATGTCCTTTTTTTTTTTTTTTTTTTTTTTGAGACAGAGCCTCATTCTGTCACCGAGGCTGGAGTGCAGTGGCGCAATCTCCACTCACTGCAAGTGATTCTTCTGCTTCAGCTTCCCCAGTAGCTGGAACTACAAGCGTGTGCCAACACACCCAGCTAATTTTTGTATTTTTATTAGAGATGGGGTTTTGCCATGTTGGCCAGGCTGGTCTCGAACTCCTAACCTCAAGTGATCCACCCGGCTCGGCCTCCCAAAGTGCTGGGATTATAGATGTGAGCCACCACGCCTGGCCTCATTTTCCACTACGTTCTAACCACCTTAAGTAACCATCATATGCAGTTAAAGCAAAACTGGTAATTTTACTGAGAAAAGATGGATTCATTTTAAAGTCACTTACTTGCTAAAACTTTGTGGCCTGGAAGTAATGTCTAAAGTTCTTATGTCAAATAATTCAGTCTATTTGCAAGTAACTGTGTACTCTTAGAGAAAAATCTTTAGTTTGATTCCCAAACCTTGTCAAATTATTGCCCCTTCCCCACAGTTAACCCAAGACTCCCCAGAGTTACTCTTAATATAATTTACCAAATTAGATCAGAAAAAAACGCCCTTACTCCCTTGCCCCCATAGGGCTTGGCATACACTTGGAGAGTCCCTTGCAGAAAAGAAATACCACCCGTTGAGTTTTGAAATGTTCACGGACTGTTTCCAAGAAAATAAGCCGCTTGGAAGTCACACATACACTAGGTGGCGCTGTGGCTGTGACATTAAACAGTCTTTGTGCTGGGTAAATGCTGGGTAAGAGCAGACATAACTAAGGAAAATTAGGCCCAACCCCAGATCATACAGTTCAGTGTCCTCCAACACTAGAGTGCTTCAGAAACATGCCAGGAACTTGAGCCTGGCGTGGTGGTGGCACATGCCTGTGGTCCCAGCTATTCCGGGGGCTGAGGCAGGAGGATTGCTTCAGCCCAGGAGGTGGAGGCTGAGGTGATCTGTGATTGTGTCACTGCACTCCAGCCTCGGCAACAGAGCAAGACCCTGTCTCAAAAACAAACAAACAAACAAACAAACATGCAAGGAACTGGTTAAAAATACAAATACCCAGACCTACTGAATGAAAATTCCAGAGGTATGGGACACAAAACAGAAGACGCAGACGGGCACACTCATGCCATCCTCTCCCGGGACAGCTCACTTTCATCCACAGCCCCCTTATTTGGGCTTCTTACCTCAAAAGTCTATCAGTAGTGGCTGGGCGCAGTGGCTCATGTCTGTAATCCCAGCACTTTGGGAGGCCAAGGCGGGTGCATCACCTGAGGTCAGGAGTTCGAGACCAGCCTGGGCAATATGGTGAAACCCCATCTCTACTAAAAATACAAAAATTAGCTGGGTGTGGTGGTGTACGCCTGTAGTCCCAGCTACTCGTGAGGCTGAGGCAGCAGGATCACTTGAATGCAAGAGGCGAAGGCTGCAGTGAGCCGAGATTGCATTACTGCACTCCAGCCTGGGCAACAGAGTGAGACTGTCTCAAAAAAAAAAAAAAAGAAAGAAAAAAAAGAGTGTGTCAATCGTGAACTGTGTTTTAAAAGGTAAGAATTTAAAAGTTCGTTCCTAAGTCAAGCCTGACACTGGTCTGATGTAAGTTAGCGCTTCTGAGAGCTCCACGAACATTGAAAGCAAGAGCTCTCATATACCTTGTTAACAGCCATTTGTCCTAGAAAATGACTGAACCACAAGTCAAGCATCCTTCATAAAGTGAGGTGGCTGAGATAGATCTGGCAGAGTCCCTGTGTCCTGCAGCTGTCACAGAGACCAGCTGGACTTTTGCATAGTAAGTGATGGGGTTTTTCCTTCCAGCTTCCGTCCATTCAAACCACAGGGACAAATCCTTCCTCAGAAAGCTATGCTGCACAAAAGCTGGCTGAAAATCCAGTTTATAGAAAAATAGAGGCATCACAGTAATATAAAGATTATCACACTAGTTCAGAGATCTGAGTATTTCTAGTCTATTGTCAATAGCTGGCAATATTTAAGTAAATCAGCCTGAAATTTGGTTTTCTTGTCTATAAAATGAAAGGAGTAAATTACACCTGTTGGTCAGGCTCAGTGATTCATGCCTGTAACCCCAGCACTTTGGGAGGCCGAGGCAGGTGGATTACTTGAGCCTAGGAGTTAAAGAACAGCCCGGGCAACATGGCAAAACCCCGTCTCTACAAAAAACACAAAAATTAGCCGAGCGTAGTGGCTCGTGCCTGTAGTTCTAGCTCCTGGGGAGGCTGAGGTGGGAGAATTGCTTGAGCCTGGGAGGCGGAGGTTGCAGTGAGCCAAGATCGTACCACTGCACTTCAGCCTGGGTGACAGTGTGTGAGACCCTGTCTCAAAAAAATAAATAAATAAAAATAAAAAAATTACACCAGCAAGACCTCTTTTAGCTGTGATTCTATTTCAATAAACGTAACTGTGACTTTGATGTTCCAATAGCTAGCCAGTCCTTAGTCCTTAAACTGTAAAGTCATTTTTTTCCTGATCAGCATCAGGGATTTGAAAAACCAGAGAGAAGTGAAAATGTGCTTTTGTGCATTTGAACAGGAAGGTCTGGGTGTTCCCACAGATAGCCACTCAGAGCCACAGAGCTCTCTCTGCAGCCACCACCTGCTTGAGTCATTGCCAGCAAGTGTTTCTTATCACTTTCCTGCCTTTGGGTCCAGACTGGGTGAGAGCCGCCACGGCAGAGGCTCCCTGTCCTGGTTCTGCGCTTAGTCCTGAGCCATGTGACCTTTGGCAAGCTACTGAATTTCTCCAGCCTTGCTTCCTCATCTGCAAAATGAGAGCTGTTAGGAGAATAAAATGTGGAAGCCCCTAGGCGCAGGGTGAGCACTCTGTACACAGTAGCTGTTATTCTTGACTGCCATGACTGCGTGGCTGTAGCATCCGTGGAGCTACATACACAGCTGGAAGAAAGCAAGCCCAGGACGGTGCTGGTAATGTCAGGGTTGCCACAGCCCTAGGTCCCAAGGCTGCCCTCTCTCCTTCTGGACTTCATACAAAGGCAGCCTCACTTGTTGACTTGAAGCAGTGAATGAACATGCTGACTCCCATGTTGCTTTCTGGAAACTCCGCATCACATAGCCCTGAAGATGGGACAATTTAAGGATACAGGCAACATGATCAATGAATCATGTATATATTATAGCTGGGACTATAGGTGCACACCACCATGCCCAACTAATTTGCTTAATGTTTTGTTTGTTTTTTGTGGAGACAGAGTCCCACCATGTTGTCCAGACTGGTCTTTAATTCCTAGCTTCAGGCAATCCTCCTGCCCTAGTCTCCTAAGGTGCTGGGATTATAGGCATGAGCCACCATGCCCAGCCAAGAAAATGGATTTATATAGAAAAACCTGCCCACAAACCATAAAGATTAAAATATACCATGCTTGAGTAGTTCAGAATCAAGTCTATGTCTTTAAAATGCTCTTAGAAAAGGTGAAGCATGGCCAGGCACGGTTGCTCACGCCTGTAATCCCAGCACTTTGGGAGGCCAAGGCGGGTGGATCATCTGAGGTCAGGAGTTCCAGACCAGCCTGGCCAACATGGCAAAACCCTGTTTCTACTAAAAATACAAAAATTAGATGGGCATGGTGGCGCACACCTGTAATCCCAGCAACTCGGGAGGCTGAGGCAGGAGAATCACTTGCACCCAGGGGGCAGAGATTGCAGTGAGCCAAGATCATGCCACTGCACTCCAGCCTGACACATCTGAGCTTCTGAGAACCATGGTATACTACCATAGGACAGTCATTGCATTATGGCCAGCCAACTAGCAACAGCTCTGCCTGCCTCACACGTCAAAGCGGGCTAATTATTTTTGGTGTAGACTAGAACAATCAAGTTGGTTTCACAAATCATATTTTTTAAAGTTGTACTGTTAGGCACATGGGAAACAGCATGTTTTGGACATAAACATATATGAAGAAAACTGAGAAGTGTGGTTGAACAAGGAATGAGGCATCTGGCACTGAAACAGCCGCCATTCATGCACAGTATGTTGCTGATGTCCATGTTCTCAGTTTTCAGGCATGCCTCATGGTCACACATGTTTAAATACTAGAAGGAGTTCATTTCCTTAATGTTCCCATCTCACATGACTTAGCGTTATGAAGTACGTAGTTAGATAGGACAGAGAAGGTATGCAGTCCCCTAAACCTGGAGCAGTAATTTCTATACCCAGCAGTCCAGATTCTGAAACTTTTAGGATTCAAAGAAAGACACACACAGTGAGAACTCTGGATCCCGCATGCAAGGGTATGGGGAGCGCTGTGGATCCCGCACACACGGGTGTGTGAGATGTGCAACGTTCCCCCCTGCAAAGCTTCCCCTACTGCTGGTTCTGTTGAGGGAGAGGTCGTAGGCAGTATCTACTGTAAGGCTGAAAGCACTGCTGTCAAATGGTGCTATTTTGGTAGCAGAAGCTTGGTTTCAGGGATACATTTCATGAACAAGAATAAGAGTTCCCGTGCATGTCTGGGAGCGTGGCTCAAGCCCCAGCTTCTCACAAGCTGTTCCTCACTTCTTGAACAGGGTAAGCGCTCACTCAGTCCCAGCGCCAGACGTCCCCAGTGTCTACACGCCATTCTTCCAGAAGCCCAGTTTTATTCGACATTGATGGCCATATGCTTCCCCAGAGCCTGGAAGCTCCCCCACCCTAGGGGCGGAATCCTCATGAGCAACCCAGTGCCTTTCAGCCCAGTCTTTGGGCTGGGAGGTGGAGGTTGCAGTGAGCCGACATCACACCATTGCACTCCAGCCTGGGTGACAGAGTGAGACTCAAGTCTCAAAAAAACAACAAAAAAAACAACCAAAAAAAAAGTACCCTCCAAAAAGGGTGTTGTCTTTCCCATTTCTGATGCCTGGGACTGTGGCAGCAATATTAGGTCAGGGGAACCAGCAGGTAGAGGGAAAAGAATGAGGAGGCAGGGTCTGGTCGTGATGACATTGTTGTCACTAAATTAGCAAGCCTGGAATTTCTTACCACTGGACTTCTTGTTTTGCAAGGTAGTATATTTCCTTATTGCTTAAACCACTGGGTTTGGGAAGGGGGACTTCTGTTGCTGGTGGTCCCAAGAAATTGGATAGAGTCCCTTTCCTCTGAAATAATATAACCTCTTTTACAGACTGGAGTACACACATGCACGCGTACACATTCATTCTGTCTTCCCCAATTTTCAAATGAAACCAACTCTTGGGTGAGAACTAACTTGGCCTCCCTCGTCCTCCAGACCCAAGCTCCTTGGAGCAGTGTGTGTGCTCTGTATTCCCTAAGTACCAACCCCATGCCCCAGCACTGTCAATCACTTCAAGGCTCAGTTCAAAATCCACTTACCACATGAAGTCTCCTATTTAACCCCCAGCTGCATCTTTCTAGAATTCTAACATGTAGCGTGCATCATTTCCAACTTTGTACATCTTGCCTGCTGATCCTCGTGTCCCCTCTGTGTGTCCATCCACCCCAGCCACACCGTTGATGTACAGCGACTGACTGGGCAGATGAGTGAGTGCAAGGCCCTACTGTCCTGCATCTGAAACCTGGAGTTTTCCTTTCCTTTTTCTTCCTTGTCTTCTTTCCTCATCTTCTCTGTAGAAGAGAAGACAAAAATTGAGATAAAAGAAATTCAGGCCGGGTGCAGTGGCTCACATCTGTAATTCCAGCACTTCGGGAGGCCAAGGCAGGTGGATCACTTGAGGCCAGGAGTTTGAACCCAGCCTGGCCAACGTGGTGAAATCTCATCTCTACTAAAAATAGAAAAATTAGCTGGGTGTAGTGGCGCATGCCTGTAATCTCAGCTACTTGGGAGGCTGAGGCAGGAGAATTGTTTGAATTCGGGAGGTGGAGGTTGTGGTGAGTTGAGATCACGCCACTGCACTCCAGCCAGGGCGACAAAGCAAGACTCTGTCTTAAAAAAAAAAAAAAGAAAGAAAGAAAGAAAATTCAGAGCTCCGACTCTGAAGGGAGAATACATATTTTTAAAGAAAGCCAACAATGACATGCCCTACTTGCTGGGAGCGACAGAAAAGGGAAAGAATTCCAGTGGTACAGAAGAAGCAGCAGCTGGATGCTCCACAAACCACCTCCCAATTTTCTATCTCCCACCACACTGACCAGATCTACTCTTGAAACTGGGGGGTGAGGCGGGGACATCCTTAAAGCAGAAGTCACAGTAGGAAACACAGCAGAGTCCAGCACGCAGCAGACAATCAAGAAATGTCAGGGAATGAGAGGGAACAGAGCATCCTGTGGTGAGGGCTTTGGGCTTGTTTCCTGAAGCTTTTTATTACTAAAACAAGATGAAATGTAGATCACACTGCAGCTTCGACTGTAATGAACCTCAGCTGAATGTGCCGACAGTGGACTTTGAGGCTTTTTGAAATGAAAAAATCTTGGGATGCTTTTGTTTTTAAAATTTCTGTGGTTGTTCGCTAAATGGCAAAATAGGGGGCCACCAGCCAGACAGCTCCAGACCACCTACAGATAGTCTCAGGCCATCACGAAGGCCGAAACGCTAACAGCCATTCTTTTCTTCTGGGTGCACAGCCTGCGGCCATCCCCACCATGAGATGGTAGAAAGGGTGCATGCAAGGATCAGCACCCAGTGTAGAAACTGACTTGTACCTGGAAGGTATGCAATGTGATCCCAACAGGCTCATTCCAGATAGAAAAAATATGTCATCACTTTCATTAGTTAATATTAAACCGACACTAAGAACTTCTGCAAGATCTTTTATGTTACACAATACAGTTAAAAACTGTAGTAAATGTTCAGATATTTAAATGAGCACCAAACACTACAAAGTGCAACCAACATGTTTCTATTAAAAACTCTCTTTGACTATGGCATTCAAGGACAGCAATACAATCTTTTTTTTTTTTTTTTTTTTAACAAAGCAACTAATATAAAAATCTGCAAATGCCATATATTCATATCTAGGCTATTCTTCTCATATAGGCATGCCATTAGATAGACTTTCTTTCTATTCTTTCCTGAGGTATTTTTTTTTGTGGTTTACTTTCATTGTACTGCTGGATGCATTATTTTTGATCATCCTTTCCTAAAATGATTTAAAGACCTGCAAATAATTTTATTGCATAGGACACTACTGATGACACAGAGAATGGGAGCTGCAAGTACGTGGCACTGGAACAAGCCTTACAAATATTGCATTTTAAGAATCTGTTACATACATTTTTTAGTTTGTCTCTTTTAAAAAATTTGAAGTTATAGCTATGACTTAACTATGTACAGTGAAGCATTTTCGGAATGTTAAGAGATTAAAGAAGATGAATGATACAAAGAAAAGAAGCCACCATTCTTGCCAGCTATATACTGTATTCCTTCAAAAGCAACTATACATGCTATCTTCAGTTCATAGTTAAATATTTCTACTAATCTGTTTTGGGAGAACAAATGTCTTTCAAGGTTTCAAGTTCCTCTATAAGCTTCTTGTTCTGGACTTCCAGCATTGCAACTCGGCTCTCCAGACATTTTACATATTCTTTCTTTCGACGTCGACATTCTTTGGCAGCTTCCCTGAAAAAAGCAGAAGCAAAGGGCAAACAAAGCATTTTTTTGCATGCTATTGACAAACAGGTCAAAGTAAGCTCGGTAAGTGTGATCACAGCTGCATTCCACATCCTGGAACAACATTCCCAATTCAATTTCAAACACTAATCCGAACTGGATTCTTAAGGGTCACACGTGTCCTTCCCACAAGTCCACATGGCAATAAGTAGGACTGCTGCATCTCCTGCCTTGATTAGAGTTCACAGTAAACAAGGTCCAAGTCAAAGACAGTTACTCTACTTTATGGCAATAAAGATCTTTGAGGGCCTTGAGTTCCTCAATGAGAGTCTTGTTTTGGTTTTCAAGCACAGCCACACGATTTTCAAGACATTTGACATATTCTTTCTTCTTCCTGCGACACTCCCGGGCAGCTTCCCTGGAACCAACACAAGGCAAATGACTACAGGAACAGCCTTCCAACACAATCCACAGTGGGTCAGTGCACTTCCGCCCCCCGAACTCAACAGCCAATCGATCCTAGGTAAGGACTGTACAAAGCCACATAACAAACATAACCAAGCACATGCTTTTTGTAAGATAACCATCAGACAACAGGAATGACTTGAGAACACAGTTTGCCCAGCATTCATCACAAATGGTGTTTTCTTAGGGCACACATTCCACTGGTAACAATGACCAGAACTGTTTTCAGTAAACTACAATAGGACCACATCCCCAAGTGGAATTTCTACAAAAACATTTATAGATCCTTTCAATTCTCTTAATTTTTTTGTCTCTCAAAAGGCACATACTCCAACATAATAAGTTAATTTTATGCGATCAAAAATGATTATAAGAATCTTCAAAAACCTTAAATATCAACACTGGAGATTTTTAGTCTTCAAAACTAAATCTCAGTAAAACAAGATCAATTGTGACTGCAAGACACAGTTTATTGGCTAGAAAACACAACATGGATAAATCATAACAATAAACAAAAGATGTGCATTTTTATAAACCGAAATGAAATGGACAGTGCTTCTGAAAATTAAAGACGGGGGCTACAAAATACAACACTCAATAACTCAGACAATTTAAACCCACAAATGTGAGACCACCACAATTAAAATTATAAAAAAGAAGCTACTGAGTAACTCCGGGCATATTTCAAGACTGTTTCCTCATCACATGCATTTAATATCCAATATGTTGAATTTTAAAGCACTAATAAGCCCCAAATGAAGGAACAGACCAGTAGCCAAAGCAACAACACAAACAGATGAGTTGAGTTAGTCATTTTCATACATAACCCCACCAAAACAATAAGTAGAGCCAACATTTTCTCTTTTTCTTTTTTTCAGGGTGGGAGGGACGGCAACCACTTCCCTTAAGTCCTCTGTAGAAGATACCCTTTGATTGGCCTCATTTTGGAGGATTCAATTCCAGAATAACTGCCTTTGAGGTAGATCACCCTTCATATCAAAAAAGCCTACACTGAAACATATATTATCATTCAAATAGGTTAACAAAAGCAGTGTTGAATGTCTAAACGCCAGTTTCTATAATGCCAATTAGTATCCTGAACCACATGTGATGTATACGTGATTTTTTTTTTTTTAAGATAGCTGACTCTCACTGACTGGATATCTGTGTTTTCACTGTGGAAGCAAGAGTCAGCAAAGAACCTTCAATCCAAATGAACTGCAGGAAAAGATCGACCCCAGCTTCCTAGCCAGGAACAATGGACTCACCCTGTGAACGAACAAAGTTCTCAGACTTCTCAGCTGGTTAACAAAAAAAATTTAAAATGTAAAATTGAATTGAACGTTATAGTGACTAATTTAATCTAAATGATGCAATTGGAAAAGTTAAGAATAAATCCAAACACACATTTGCCACTTTGGGAACATAATTCAACTCTTTTCCACAAAGGAACTGAAATTCATTTATGAATACCAAGGTTTTCATGAGTAAATTATATTAAATTCTAGATCTAGAAGGAAGATAGTCCTTTTACAAAACAGGCTTACCATTAAATGAAAAATTTAAAGACCTAATAGTAGTGTTGTGGGTGTTTAATCTTTAACATTTTATTTACCAAGCTATTATAAATATTCATACTTCATATTTTACATTTGAGTGTGCATGTGTGTGTGTGCACACACAGACACACATATTACTAGAGTCAAAATGTTCCAGGCACAAAGCTTTCCCCAATCATATCAGTAGATGGTACATTCCTAAGTACTCCTCAGCCATGGAAAACACCTGTTTCTTCTATTAATAGTGAGCTCAGTTTTCAGGCTTGCATGTGTCTGAGTATATCCTCAGCACGGAGAGGAAATGCAAGGCAAAGAAGAAACTCTGAGAAGGCTGGAAAGAAATAAAAACTGTTGCTGGATTGGCAGAAATGCAATATAATGAAATATCGAATATAGATACCAACCAAAGAATAAAAAGAGAATATGTAAGAGATCTATCTGTGAAAGACTAAAGCCTACACACTTTCCCAGGAAGTGAAATCTGCAGGTTATCATGGGGTATTTTCGGGGTGCCCGATGCTGGGATAGAGGACAGGCATTAGAATAAAGACTGCCTGGTTGCCCTGGTTCTGCCCAGTTTGGGCCATGTTATCTTGACCAACTTTAACATCTCTGAACTTCTGGTCCTCATCCGTAAACTGGGCATAATAATTACCTACTCTCATGTAAGCATTAAAGACACAGTAGAACAAAGCACTTAAAACCTGCTAAACAGATAATGAGCAACCTAACAGCCAGGTATCATATGTTTTTCTCTTGTCTTGCTCTGAAACTGAGATTTAGAAAGCGAAAATAAACCTTTCTCAGAATCCCATACAGCTAGGGACTAAAGACCTATTTCTGGCCAATGAAATGTAGGTGAAAGTTGCTGGGAGGGTCTTCCAGGAAATGTTTGCAGTTGAGCCAGACCTCAGCTAGCCCCAATTTTTGGCTCTAGCCCTTCTTCCTTCTTCCTGTCTGAGGCAATGGCTAGAGGTTCAGCAGCCACGCTGTGATCATGAGAATGAATGATACATGCTGAAGATGACACAGCCGGGAGCGGGAGCCTGGACCCTTGATAACAAACACTGCTGAGCCTCTGTCCTGGCTGCACACAATGAGGACATTATTTGACACTTAGGACTAAGGTGACAAGACTACTGGGAAACTCTAAGACAATTCTGTTCCTTTTGAAAATCAGATTAATTTGCACCATTATCCATAATAAAAACTAAACCAAGAAATAATATACAAGTTAAATAAAATTTTATGTTTTAATTTTTAAAAAGTTTTAGAAAATAGCATTTTATAATATGTTGCTTAAAAAATAAAATTACAGAGTTATGGAGCAAGAAAAAGTGACAGAAAATGACAGCTGACTGGAAGTACATAGACTATAATAGGAGGTATCCTAAGTGATTAGAGCCATGGATGATTTTAATTCTTTTTGTTAGTTTGTATTTGCACTTGACTAGAATTTTTCATATTAAATATGTATTTCAGTGTAATAGAGGAAAAAAGTTACAAAATAGACAAAAGGAAACTACATGTAGAAAATGTCAAAAAGAAATGCTTCACTTACACTTCAATTTATTTTGCTCAGAGAAGCTAAAAAATTCGACTTATCTACTTCACAAAGCAAACACTAAATACAAAATAGCTCTTTGTTTCTCATGAAGTCCTTTGATCATTATTTAAAAAAATTACTGTATCTTTTGAACACTACCCTTACAACATAGGGATGTAATTCCTGATGATGAAATAGTTAACGGCCAGGAATTCTGACTAGAAGACAAACTAATAACACACACAGAGCACAAACCTACATGAAATGCCACATAACATGTAACTTGGGACAAACAGCTTATGAAAACTGTAATCTTTTTCTTTTTTTTTAAGACTGAGTCTCACTCTGTCACCCAGGCTGCAGTCCAGTGGCCCGATCTTGGCTCACTGCAAGCTCCGCCTTCCGGGTTCAAGTGATTCTCCTGCCTCAACCTCCCAAGTAGCTGGGATTACAGGCGCACACTACCACACCCAGCTAATTTTTGCATTTTTAGTAGAGACGGGGTTTCACCATGTTGGCCAGGATGGTCTCGATCTTTTGACCTTGTGATCTGCCCGCCTCAGCCTCCCAAAGTGCTGGGATTACAGGCGTGAGCCACCACGCCTGGCTGAAAACTGGAATTTATTTTTATTACTTATGAATATACTATTATTATTTATTAATATTTTTTATTATTATTATTATTTTAGATGGAGTCTCGCTCTGTCACCCAGGCTGGAGTGCAGTGGTGCGATCTCGGCTCACTGCAAGCTCCACCTCCCAGGTTCACGCCATTCTCCTGCTTCAGCCTCCCGAATAGCTGGGACTACAGGTGCCCGCCACCACACCCAGCTAATTTTTTTGTATTTTTTAGTAGAGACGGGGTTTCACTGTTAGCCAGGATGGTCTCTATCTCCTGACCTCGTGATCCACCTGCCTCAGCCTCCCAAAGTGCTGGGATTATAGGCGTGAGCCACCGCACCCAGCGAAAATTGTAATTTTTAAAAAGTGTTCTAGAAGTTACCGATTCCCTGTGAAACATCTCACCTGTTTTTCATTAGCCTCAGCTCTCGTTTGCGTGTTGCTTCTTCTGCCAGCTGCTGGGGACTGTGCAAACTTCCGGGTGATGCAGCCATCACCACTCCCCGTGGCAAAGCAGCAGTAGGAGCTCGGATCTGGTAAGTTGGCATGTCACCAGTGGCAGCTGCAGTAAAACAAAATATTTCGAGCTTATATAAAGAATTCACAATTTGGCATTTTACATAAAACTGACCTGGAAATGGTATGCTTTTGACATCTCATAAGAGGTGATCTTGTAATGTTTAAGATAATTATTCTGAGCATTATAGCAATCTCAAGTATTAAAGATCTTCTTCAGCACTTAGAACAATGATATTCAGCACGCTCTAAATATTTAAGGAGAAAAGTGTCCTAATGCATTTTAGACAGGTTTTTATCAAATGCAAAAGCTCACAGGTGCTCATTTAGCTTAAAATCAATGGTGTGCTAATAAATATTTAATAAACAGTCCTCAGGGGAAAACAATGAAAAAGCCCTGATGTCTAGTGTTCCGATAATTCTCATGGTGTAAATACTTCCACCATGGCCAATTTCAAGCTGCCAAGGTGACTTTGCTGATCATAGAGTTGTAAAGACACACACGTAGTAAGCACACAGCATACAGACAAAATAGATGCCAATACCCACAGAGCAGAGAGAAAATACTTAGAAATTATGAGTTTTGAGTACTAATGTTTTAAATGTGTAAATAAATAAAAATGTGTGCATACACACAATTTTTTTTTTTTTTTGAGACGGAGTCTCGCTCTGTTGCCCAGGTTGGAGTGCAGTGGCGCAATCTCAGCTCACTGCAAGCTCCACCTCCAGGGTTCACGCCATTCTCCTGCCTCAGCCTCCCAATTAGCTGGGACTACAGGCGCCCACCACCACGCCCGGCTAATTTTTTGTATTTTTAGTAGAGATGGGATTTCACCGTGTTAGCCAGGATGGTCTCAATCTCCTGACCTCATGATCCTCCCACCTCGGCCTCCCAAAGTGTTGGGATTACAGGCGTGAGCCACCACGCCCGGCTTTTTTTTTTTTAGACAGTCTCACTCAGTGGCTCCAGGCTGGAGTGCAGTGGTGTAATCTTGGCTCACTGTAACCTCCGCCTCCCCTGTACAAGTGATTCTTGTATCTCAGCCTCCCAAGTAGCTGGGATTATAGGTGTGCACCACCATGCCTGGCTAATTTTGTATTTTTAGTAGAGATCCTGTTTTGCCATGTTGGCCAGGCTGGTCTTGAACTCATGACCTAAAGTGATCCACCTGCCTCAGCCTTGCAAAGTGTTGGGATTACAGGCGTGAGCCACCACGCCTGGCCTGAAAATTTAACAATAGGCTCTAACAAGCCAGCAGGAGCTGACTGTAGCACACCACTGCAAACATTTCTATGAAGCAGAATATCTCCATCCTGTGAATGTTTCAGTTTAGAGATTTTCCTATACTCCATATCATGCTTGAAACAGTCACTGAATGTCTTTAAGTGCAATTCTCATTACTAGAAAATGATTGAAGCACTGGAAAGAATTGAGCTCACTGCAGTTTCAGTAAAAAAAACAACAACAACAACAACAACAACAACAAAAACCCAGCAAAGCTCCACTTAAACCTAGTTTCTCTGGGGAAAGATAATTTTTGTCTTTCTTAGGTTTCCTAGGAAAAATAATACATTTGTAAATATTCATTTAAAAGTATTGTCTAAGCATAGTATAACCATACAGTTAAAAGACAGGGTTTGGCCGGGCGCGGTGGCTCAAGCCTGTAATCCCAGCACTTTGAGAGGCCGATACGGGCGGATCACGAGGTCAGGAGATCGAGACCATCCTGGCGAACACGGTGAAACCCCGTCTCTACTAAAAAATACAAAAAACTAGCCGGGCGAGGTGGCGGGCGCCTGTGGTCCCAGCTACTCGGGAGGCTGAGGCAGGAGAATGGCGTAAGCCCAGGAGGCGGAGCTTGCAGTGAGCCGAGATCGCGCCACTGCACTCCAGCCTGGGCGACACAGCGAGACTCTGTCTCAAAAAAAAAAAAAAAAAAAGACAGGGTTTAATATTTACTTAGTATTCAGATAAAATACTAAAAGTAAGTTCTCAAAGTTTCCTAATTTATATTCAAAATTTGTCTACTGCAAGAAACATAGCTTCCTAGAAAAGACAGATGGATTCGAGTGATAAAACGTTTCTACCACCAACGCTTCAACATTGAAACGTATGGTCCAGAGTTAGTTTGTCACTCTGATGAGACATTACAAAATATATGCTCTCTCAAAGCTAACTGCAAGAAAAAAGATTTCTTAAAAAATTATCAAATTCTATTAACAATTGTCTGAACTAAATTACAATCAAAAGAGGAAAATACAGCATTTCTATATTTCATGGAAATGTTTTATACCCATTGAATAAGAAGTGAAATGTTACCCATGGGAGACAAATACTTTGTCAGCTAAATAGGATATTATCACTGAAACTTTGTTTAAAACAGTTAAACAAAGATTAACTGATTTATGTGCTTCTATTTGGGTATATGCCAGATTTTTGCCTTCTAAGGCTTGAGAATTAGGTGAAAGAATACAACAGTTAAAAACGTGGCTTTCAAGGAAGCTCACTTAAAGATTTTCATAGAATTAATAAAAATATCATTTATAAGGTTGTACTGCCTTTTCCTTCTACATGTAATTTTAAAACATTGGTGATAGGTAATAATTCTTCTTTTTTTTGAGACGGAGTTTTGCTGACTCCAGGCTGGAGTTTTGCTGGCTCCAGGCTGGAGCGCAGTGGTGCGATCTTGGCTCACTGCAACCTCCTACTCCCTGGTTCAAGTGATTATCTTGCCTCAGCCTCCCGAGTAGCTGGGATTACAGGCACACGCCATCATGCCCAGCTAATTTTTGTATTTTTAGTAGATACGGGGTTTCACCAGGTTGGCCAGGATGGTCTCCATCTCCTGACCTTGTGATCCGCCTGCCTCGGCCTCCCAAAGTGCTGGAATTACAGGCGTGAGCCACCACGCCCGGCCTAATTGTGACTAATGATCACCAGCCTATGAATAAACTTGAGAAAAGTCCTAAATTTGTTTTTGTGACTATTCAAAATAATGCATACACAGACAACTCAATGAGTCGTACAAAACTGTATAGCTCTGAGATAGTTAAGAAAGTCACGTTAAGCCAGTTATAAACTAACTTAACAGATTGTTTAAAGTATCTTCATCGTATTGTCAGAGGAGATGGAGTGGAGCAGAGAATAACATAGTTCTCCTCTTTTCTCTCTTCACCCACATCCAGGGAAGAAGGTTATGGGGTAATAAAGGCTGAAACAATGGAACAGCTGGTGGCCACCTAGGCCTTCTAAAATTGGAACAATAGCCAGTGACGAATGAGAAGTTTACATGACACCAGGTTGACACGTGCAGGCAGCATGGATAGGGACCTCGGTCTAGGATCGTTCTTTCCAAACACTGCTCACACAGACGTGCAGTAAAAGTAATAGGTAGAGAGGGGCTCATTACACTCTAGTTCTGTAGACGTTTGCTGTTTTCTTGTAATATGAAGTTAGAGCAGGATGGTTCCATGATATACAAAAGCTAGTTTAAAAAAAAAAAAAAAAAACTTTTTTTTTTTTTTTGAGACGGAATCTTGCTCTGCTGCCCAGGGTAGAGTGCAGTGGCACGATCTTGGCTCACTGCAACCTCCGCCTCACAGGTTCAAGCAAAATATCCTGCCTCAGCCTTCCGAGTAGCTGGGATTACAGATGCCTGTCACCGCACCCGGCTAATTTTTGTATTTTTAGTAGAGATGAGATTTCACCATTTTGGCCAGGATGGTCTCGAACTCCTGACCTCGTGATCTACCCACCTTGGCCTCCCAAAGTGCCGGGATCAGAGGCGTGAGCCACTGCGCTCGGCCACAAAAAACTTTTTTTTTTTTTTTAAAAAAAAGGGTGGGTCACAGGTGACCCTGCATTAGTCACAGGTGAAAAATGCAGTTCAAGGGCAGACATAGTGGCTTACACCTATAATCCCAGCATTTTGGAAGGCCAAGGTGGGAGGTTCACTTGAGTCCAAGAGTTCAAGACCAGTCTGGGCAACATGGAGAAACCCGATCTCTACAAGAAATACAAAAATTAACCAGGTGTGGTGACATGCGTCTGTGGTTCCAGGGCCTCAGGTGGGAAGATCATGTGAGCCCAGGAGGTTGAGGCTGCAGTAAGCCGTGACTATGCTACTTCACTCCAGCCTGGGCGACAGAGTAAGACCCTGTCTCAGGAAAAAAAGAAAAAAAAGGAAAAAAGAAAAGAAAAAAGGAAGTTCATTCATTGGCCTTGTATTTATCAGAAATGATTCTCAACAACTCTTGCCTGTTTCCAGAAGCAACAACCACCCTCAAGGGACCAAATTTGGTACCATGAAAGATAATGGCAATTCCAAACTAAGAATTCTTAAAAACATTTTGAGCAATAGCTCAGAAAAAAATACCACTTTAAAATAACTTGGAAGGGGATGATATATTCAGATGTATTAGTTCTGAGATGTTAGGTGACTGGGTTTTATTATAATTTTTCAGAGGTATCATATATTCCTTTTACTCCCCTCAATAAAATAAAAATGACAGTGCATTAGTTCAAGCCAGAAACAGGAATTAGTATAAATTAGTAGGAATTTGCATAAATTTCTATAATATCCCAACGGATCTATATAGTGGTATACTTCTAATGGTCAATGGACAAATTCCATATACTCAAATATAATCTTATTAGTAAAGTACATTTTAACAGATATGGGCAAAGACAGCTGTGCACAGTGGCTCATGCCTGTAATCCCAGCTCCTTCAGAGGCTGAGGCATGAGGATCACTTGAGCCCAAAAGTTCAAGTCCAGCCTGGGCAACATAGCAAGACCCTGTCTCCTAAAAAAATAAAGATACAAAGAAAATCTCTTGTTTTGAAAAAATCTAAATGTCACAAGTTTTAATTTTAAAACAAGTTATAAAAAATATTTATCTTAGTTAGCTTCAAATTTCCAATAATATGAACTCAGTGGAAATTTAAAGCAGATAAGATACCAAGGATCACAGTTCAAAGACCATCCTGCGTTCTCTGATGACACACTGCTATTCCTGTACTCTTATAAAGGCCACTTCCTGTCCCATTTAACTACTGAAAGTGTCCAAATTATTTTTATTCTAGAATTTTCATATTCTGAAAATATATGGGTTATCAGTGGGGAACTAACAATCAAGATTGAAGAAAGACTGTAAGATATTTATACACTAACTTTATTCTCAGGAAAGCAAAAACTTTAAGACAAATCAGGGATAGTATCTTTTTAACCCCAGAATCCCCTAGAATCTAGCACAGTACTTGGCATATAATGGGTGTTTCATGAGTTTATGTGTGCTGTATGAAGTAAAATTTGAACTTCCTGGGGTTTTGCACAAGGCTGCTGTCATTTGGAATGCTTAAAATAAGCAGTCTTTCTTATAAACTTACATTATTATAGCTAAACCTTTACCTCTAAGACATGGAAAGTCCTACAAGATGCGATGTGTCTCTTCAAAGTGGCCTTTCTTGATAAAAGGCATTATTTCTTAAATCTTACTTAGATGCACTTTAGATAAGTCTAACATAGCATTTTAAAACCAAAGGCGTTCTCATTATGACGTGTTTCCACCTAGCTCCTGACGTGAAAGCATTTAAAAAATTTTTTTTTAGGTTCAGTATCAAATATTTCATGGGAAAAGAAAATTCCTAGAACTCTCAGTTTTGGTCATTAACTTCATACCTCTCTTTGCAAGCTTTAAACACGGTACAGCAGAAAAAGCATGGGGTTTGGAGTCTGGGTTCTAGTCCAGCTCTGCCACTTACCAGCCATGTGACTTGGGGCAAGTTCAGTTTCCTCATCTGTAAAATGGGGATACAGTATCTCATTTAGTACTCACAATAAACCCTATAATGTATGTCAAAGTGTCTAGCACAGTGCCTGGCACATGGCAGGCACTCCACAAATGTTAGTTCCCTTCCTCTTCCCCTCCTTAAGTTCTGAAAGACAATGTTCCAAATTATGCTTACAATGTGTATTAGTTAAAACGCATATAACATCCATAAACCCATTTCCCCCTGGAATTTCCCTTCTAACAAACCCAAAGAATCAAAATTTATGGCTCTTATTCCTTATTTTGTTAAAGAATATGCCTATTAAAAACTTATAAAATTATATATCATTATATTCCTTTAGAGAATATATTATTAAAGATAATGTAAGATGTCCTTTTCAATGTATGCAATCATTTATGATAGAACCTCGAATGGCCAAAGATATACTCTCATCAGACTGGAAAGAAGAAAACTGAAAAAAAACCTCAAGTGAGAGTAGGAAACAAAGAAATAAATAAGAAACCCAGCCAAGTACCTATGTTGGTAAATTCCAAAGTGAAATGATTTCTCAGCACTCCAAATGATGGTGATTTTATTCAATTGTTTATTTATTAAGATACCTGTAGTACTGAGCACAAAGACTGAATAAAAAACATTTTCGTATAGAGAGTTCCTGCTTTCATACGCCATTTCACAGCATGGCACTAATCCTAAATACACCTTTAAGTAAGCAGCAGAGGTTAACTTAGATGTCACACTTCTAAGTCGGGGGCTTCTATCCCTAGCTCTGGTAAGCTGCTGACATCATCACCACTGCTGTGGTTCTCTTCCTCCCTACCACCACCTGCTCCTAATACCCAGATCCTACATTTCCGTGCCTGGTGTCCCATACTGCCAAAAACGTTCCCTTCTCCGTGAAAATTAAATCCTACATAAAAATAGCTATTTAAGCACTGATCATTTTCAAATTTGCTACAATCACTGTAACACATAGACCACATAGATAACTCACCAAAATCTTTTCAGCTTTGAGGTGTAATTGACAAAAATTGTATATACTCCAAGTGTACAATGTGATGCTTTCACATATGCACACATTATGAAATTATTATCACAGTCCAGCTAAGTAAGTTATACACAAAGGACCTTTTAAAGTTGTTTAGTATGTGAAAATCTATGAGTCAGTCTATAAAAAAGATGGGAAATTATGAACACTGAAATTTAATGTTCCATATAATAGCAAATATATGCTCTGTTGTTCTCTAAGAGTAATAAAATTCAATTTTAGGCTATACAAAATTCAATTTTAGGCTGGCTCTGGTGGCTCATGCCTTTAATCCCAGCACTTTGGGAGGCTGAGGCAGGTGGATCCCTTGAGGTCAGGAGTTCAAGACCAGCCTGACCAAATGGTGAAACCCTGTCTCTACTAAAAATGCAAAATTAGCCAGGTGTGGTGGTGGGCGCTTGTAATCTCAGCTACTTGGGAGGCTGGGAGGCAGAGGTTGCAGTGAGCCAAGATCACGCCACTGTACTCCAGCCTGGGCAACAAGAGTGAAACTCTGTCTTTAAAAAAAAAAAAAAAGCCATTTTAATGACTTAAAATGATGCTAACCTAACCTCATTTTATATGTTTTATAAGCAGTGTGTAGCAGCATGTACTCACATGACACTGCATTCGTGTGTCAATGTCAGGTGAGTTTTGAGGAGTCACATTAATATGCTATGAACAGAACCCGAGGATTCTGAAGACTCGAACAGGTTCACTACTTGCTAGCTTTGTGAAATTGGAAGTCATTTACCCAGTCTGACCCGGGTGTAGCTGGGCATGTATCAGTGAGAATGCCTGTAAACTGCCTTTTTTAGCATTTGAACATGGTTTCCTAGTGAGGCCTACTTGATCCCTTAACCTGTATGTCCAGATGTTTCTGTGTCACTCACAATCTGATAGTTTCTTTGACAGCACTTGCTACAGTTTGTATTCATGTTTATTTGTAACATTAAATGATTTTTTAAAAGTTTACATAAATGCAAAGTATAATTATTTTATTAGAATATAAATGAATAAATATATTTGCCTAATATATTCATACAGGCAAATAAAACAGAGCAAAGTGAAATAAATATTCCAAATTACATTTCATCATACATTTTTCAAAAGTAGTAGGAAAATAACATGAGTAATTTCCAATTTCACCCTGCAGATTTGGTTTACTGAATCTTAAGGTAGATAAATGCCTTGTTATTTCCACTTCCAAAGTGATTATAACTTGCTCAGCTACCAACTTCAAGAAGCTGTCACAATCTAAATGAAATTATTCTTTTTTGTTGTTGTTGCGATGGAGTCTCGCTCTGTCACCCAGGCTGGAGTGCAATGGCACGATCTCAGCTCACTGCAACCTCCATCTTCCGGGTTCAAGCGATTCTTCCACCTCAGCCTCCCGAGTAGCTGGGATTACAGGCATGTGCCACCATGCCTGGCTAATTTTTGTATTTTTATGGAGATGGGGTTTCATCATGTTGGCCAGGCTGGTCTTGAACTCCTGACTTCAGGTGATCTGCCCGCCTCGGCCTCCCAAAGTGCTGGGATTACAGGTGTGAGCCACCACGCCGGGCCTCCAAATTATTATTCTATGTAAATATTTCTAAGCAAAAATAATTGCTAATAGCCTCCTTTCGCAAAGATGATATATATCCTTATTCTCATGCATCAAATATTAACTAAGACACTCATTTTCCAAATTTGTTGGAAAGTTTGTTTTTAACAATTCAGAAATCCAGCCAGAATGCAACGTGAGACTCAGAGTCTAAAAGATAGGAAATTATGCTAACAGAATCAGTTTATGAATAGAACAAAAGGCAATTTCTAATAAAAATGTAACTTATGCCCCACAAAGTCAATAACATAATCCCATAAACTATAGTCAGTTATTTATTTATTTATTTTGAGATAGAGTCTTGCTCTGTTGCCCAGGCTGGAGTGCAGTGGCACAATCTCGGCTCATTGCAATCTCTGCCTCCCGGGTTCAAGTCATTCTCTTGCCTCAGTTTCCTGAGTAGCTGGGATTACAGATGCGTGCCACACCTGGCTAATTTTTGTATTTTTAGTAGAGACGGGGTTTCATCATGTTGGTCAGCCTGGTCTCGAACTCCTGAGCTTGTGATCCGCCCGCCTCAGCCTCCCAAAGTGCTGGGTTTACAGGCGTGAGCCACCGCGCCCAGTCATTTACTTTTTATATTTCATTTCATGATCCTGTAAGTAAATGCTAATATCTTTTCTAGGCCAGCCATTAGTGCTAGGAGCCTGATTTCGGTCTAGATTAGAGTTTTTCAAACTGTAAGCTGTAGACCATTAACGGATCATAAAGTAAATGTCATGGGTCAAGAAAAGCATTTTTAAAAAAGTACAGAAAAGGAATTATGGGTACATCACATTTTGTTAAGGATAAGAATTATGTCTGAAATATGTTTTATATAAATGTAGGGTACACACACACACATAGGTCCACTTTGTCGTGATATAATGTGGGTCATGGTTGAAAAGTTTGCAAGCCACTAATCTAGCTCAATCTACTTGGTCTGCCGATCCACAGGGTTACCCCAGAACTGAGAACCCAGAGGTCTGGTTCCTAAAGCTACTCTACTACACCTTCAAAAAAGTTCCTTAACCCTGTGCTCTTTTGGCTTTAAAAAATAAAGTAAAATGAGGCCAGGCGCGGTGGCTGATGCCTGTAATCCCAGCACTTTGGGAGGCCGAGGCGGGCAGATCACGAGGTCAGGAGATCAAGACCATCCTGGCCAACACGACGAAACTCCGTCTGCTACTAAATGACAAAAAAAAAAAAAAAGAAAAAAAAAAATTAGCCAGGCCGTTGTGGCGGGCACCTGTAGTCCCAGCTACTCGGGAGAGGCGTGAGGCAGAGAATGGCGTGAACCCGGGATGCGGAGCTGCAGTGAGCTGACATCGTGCCACTGCACTCCAGCCTGGGCAATAGAGCAAGACTCTGTCTCATAAATAAATAAATAAAAATGAAATAAAACTTATTACTCATTTTCAAGTAGCACTGATTCTGTAAGAATTGACCAGATTTAAAAAATATGATTTCAAAGCAAAATCAGGTCTTTTGAAAAAGTGTTCTGTTGTTTGACATGTTAAAGTTTTAGCATTTTGATAAGGTTTAAATTCGAAAGGGAAATTCAATCATGTGTAGATTATTGGTAAAACTGTGAAAAAAACTTTCAAGGATGTTATGTTCATTCTCGTAAAACAAATGTCAAAAATGTTTATCTATTTATAAGTAGTGGTTAGAAGTACACAGCGTTGCCGAGCGGGCGGGTGGATCACGAGATCAGAAATCGAGCCATCCTGGCTAACACGGTGAAACTCTGTCTCTACTAAAATACCAAAAAATCAGCCAGGCGCGTGGCAGGCGCCTGTAGACCCAGCTACTCACGAGGCTGAGGCAGGAGAATGGCGTGAACCCGGGAGGCGGAGCTTGTAGTGAGCGAGACGTCGCAGCACTGCACTCCAGGCTGGACGACAGAGCAAGGATTTCCGGCTCAAAAAAAAAAAAAAAAAAAAAGTACACAGCGTTTCACATCATTTTATTTATTTTTTGTTTGATTGATCCTTATGCTTAGACAAGTCAACAAGGGGAATAGGCATGAAAGGCTGGTAAGAGAAAGGATATAAAAGCCAATGATTTTGTAGAAATAAATATATGTACAAAAATGCCTTCTGGTTCTAAGAATCATATGACATGCAGTGTTTGAGATGTTCATCTATATCTTAAAATAAATTCATCATTTGAGTTCTGCAGTCTATAGCATCTCTAGAACTTCACAAACCTTCTTTGAGAAAAAAAAAATAGCTCCTCAAGACAGTTTTAAAAACAATGTAATACAGGTTTTACTTACTCAAGACAATCCAGTGTTCCTATCCAGAAAGAGGGCTGAGACCCATTAACTTCGAAGAGCTAAATTGTAGTGAAGTTGTTTAAAACCATCCACTCTTTCTTAATTTAACTGCA